TACCATATTGAAAAATATACTATTTTTGTATGATAATTATGGGTTTTGTATTTTATTTTAATAGAAGTTGATGTTGCTTTTGCAATTATCCATCAATTTTTTAAAATTAAACACTATCTACAGATTTGCATCGAAGCGTTTCTTATGATAGTGATTTTAATCACTGTCAGATTAAATCTATACTGGACCCTACTATGCAATGTCTCCACTATGCCGCAACCTCACTGTGCTACCGTTTATTTGCTTATTAATTTCAGTTTTTGAAAATAATGTTGTGTTAGCTTTGAAAACTGATTTTTCATAGTAGAAAAATTGTTGACAAATTAATTTTTTAATATTGTAATAAAATTCAGGAACTATAGTTTTATATAGGTTAGAAGTATTCAGACCTACCACAATATTTTCAAAAATTGAGTTGAAAAAAAATGTTTACATGAGTGTGTGGTCTCTTTCAAACCCTTACTATACTTGGAGTTTCATTTTATTTTCAAAAATAGAATACTAAAATTAAGCTTATTGGTTTACCTAGATTAAAATCGGATTATTTTTACGTATTGATCATTAAAATCGGATTATTTTTACGTATTGATCATTAAAATCGGGCTAGTTAATTTTTATGGACAGACATAAAAAAACACACATGATACAAAACCAATATTTTCTCAGCTTCGCATCGAATCTAAAAAATATCTAAAATTAGTGTAAGTTTTATAGATTTTAATTTTACCAAACGTAGCTGATAATATATTTTATGCAATACATTTTTATACATTAAAAGAAAAAAATCCTTTTTTTTCTAGAGAAGTTTTAATTATATTTTGTTTTGTTCTAATATCTTATCCATTCATACAAATTAATCCCAGAATTTCGTAGTCAGATAAATAACTTTAATCTGGTGAAAACATATCTGTGTATTTAAAAACATGTTCATTAGATTGTTCAAGAAAAAAATATTTCTGCTAATTTTATCATTTTTTTTGCTGAGGGTTTAGGAAGTAACTACCCTTTGACTTTTGAGTTTTGCTTCATATAGAGTGAATGTAATATATTGTCAATGTGTAAAACATTCAAACCGTTTAGGAATAATTAAAAAAATCATTGTCTTAAATTTGTATTGAAAATTTAGCAATTATTTCTTATAATACATAATTAAAAGTACTTTTTAAATAATAAATACTTTCAGTTTAAATCAATAAAAATATTTCCATAATAAAAAAGTTATAAAATTTAATAGAGACATAAATTTTGTAACATGTCAACATTTATTATAAAAATACAACAAGTGCTTTGTAAGTTTTTACAGCTCCCATATATTTTTTGAACTGAATATATACATATATATATATATTTTATATTTGTTGTAAGAAGTAAATTGCTGTAACTAACAAAGCGTTTGTTCCTTTCAAAGAATGTGTTCCAACCAAACATATGAAGTTTAGTTCGTTGTATAATGTTTTATTTGAATCTTTTTCTCTGGTTTGTTGGGTAAAGTAATGAAAAGCACTCAAACGAAGATTTCAGGGTAAATTTCCCCGAACGGGATTTGTTGGCTTTTTATAAATAGAGTATAAAATAATTCTATTATTATGGTTTTGACCGCCAACAAAAAATTAGGTTTTGACTAGATGTATTTGATCTGACGGTACAGCGAAATTGCTAACAAAGCGCCGCGTTACTTCTTATTTTTTATGGCTAAAGTTTAAATTCGACGGAACAAGCGTGGAGCTTTCGGTGCCGCCCATCCGAATCGTTTCCATGGCAATCGCTTTGCCAAAGAACGGCCCATTTCGATTTGTGACCAGACCCTTGACAGAGTTTACAACCGACAGTCGCCAACATTGCACGTCGTCCTCATCGTTCAAAAAGTCGGCGAAGACGTTGTGATAATTCGACTCGATCTCATTCGCCGTCATTTAAATAATTAGTTTAAAACAATTATAATCAAGAGTTTAAGATTCAAGCAATATTTTAGCAATTAAATTACAGCAATCATGTCCATCGCACCAAAAGTGAGTACTATAGTGATTAAATTTGTTTCGTCATCTACACCTTCATCTATATTATACATTATTATTTATTCATTTTTATAGACATAATAAAAGTGTCTTTTTCGTTTTTTTTAAAAATAATCTTTTAATTATTTTTATATAAGAAATAATAGTAATAAATACAAATAGTGGAAAACCCAACTTATTATAGTGATTGAGTACATTTCATAAAAAGCGCTACGGTCTCATTAAAAATAAATTAATTCTTTTCACTTTTTTCTATTTCTGTAATTTACAGTTTTATAGTAAAATAAAAGTCTTGGAGTAACGATCAATTTTAAATGTTCTTAAAACATCCGTTTTGGTTTTAAATCTACCATGTATTTCAATATTACTGTACAATGTCGTACAGTGTTTTAATTAAGTTTATGACGAGTTAAAGAAAATAAAAAGAAATAATCAATATATTATTTGCATATTTTGTAATAAATTGATTATCTTGTATTAATAAAAAACATACTTATATATTTTAAGAGAGTCATTTAATTAATAGTTTTTGATTTTTTCACTAATTTTTAGTTAATTCATTATAAACAAATTTTTTTTAAAAATCTGGTCATCTATGTTATTATGAAATGTGATTTATTAAATATACTATGTCCCCTTTTTTTATTAAATAATTATTCTTTAGTAATAATTTGTAAGTTAAAATTTAATTTATTTTTATAAGCCATTGTGAATATAATTTTTATTGTAAGAAAAAATTATTCTTGAGAGTAGATATTAAGGGTAACTTTCGACAAATAAATGAAAACCTACTATTACTATTTTACAATTAAATGGAGAAAGATCTAAATAAACCTTTAGCAAGTTGATAATCAGAATTGTACCATTACTTTTTGAGTTGTTATAGTTTTTAGTTATACGCGGTGGGGTTCGCCATGTGGAAGAATTCTTATTTATGGTAAATGGTTGGGTTATGGTTATGGTAAAAATAGAGCGTTTGTCAACTTTTCTAAATCTTTAAATGCTAATATCTCAAAAAGTAATTATACAAAACTGGTCATCGAGCAGTAAAAGTGTTACTTAGACCATTCGCCATTTAATAGTACAGATATAATAGTAGGTAGCCCTTTAACATTCGAAAATTACCCCTAAAAGGATCAGATAGCAAATAAAAACTTATTAATTAAATAAAAATTCTTACATTGTTGTAAAAAAACATAGAGCTAATGCTAATATAAATTTACATTGTTAAACATTTTATCTTAAGAATTTCATTTAAGCATTTGAGTTGCTTAATATGGTTGCGTTAGATATGAGAAATGATAAACATAAATCATAAAATACGAAAATAAGTTTTTTTATTTGTCAACTTAATATAATTTTTTTTTCTTTATAAAAAAACAATAATTTTATATAACATTACAAGTATGTATTAAGTTTCTTTGTTCTAATGAAACTCAAGTCTGTAAAACAGTTATTAATTAGTGTACAATCATTTTATACAATTCATAGTCATGTTCAAATGAGGATAATGGGTATTATGTGTATAATAATCTGTGGAGTTTATATTAGTCAACTTACACTTACATTAGAAATTATTAGTATAAATTAGTAACGGGTGCTGAAAAACATGCAAATTTTAGCGATCTCGTACATAATTGTAGTTGGTGGATTAAGTATCATTACAGTAGTGGATACGGTACTTTGATTTGGCTGCCTCTTCATTTATAATAAGCACGAAACTTCATAAACCTGTGTGCAAAACCGTCATTAGTATGGACTATAATAATTGAAATTTATACCTTACTTTGAGTGAGCTTAAATTTTTTTGAAACGAACAATTTGCCTACCTAAGAACAATTTCCATTCGACCATTCTTGATATATTTATATTTTATTGAAGCAAATAATTTTTTATTTTAGATTACAAAAATAATATCAATTTCCGAAACCACTGCAATTACAATAAATGAAAGGTAAATCAGATTATAACAAAATAAAATTTAAATGAATCTAATTACATTTTAAATTTACAGTGTAGTAATTTTGTGTACCAGAAACGGCGTCCACAGAATAACATAAATACTGTGTAGCTGAGACGATTTCATTAAATGAATTCACTAAAGCACCAAAGCTTATGAACTTAATCACTTTTCTCTCATTTAAGGCTTTTATAGTGGCTGTTATAATTTTATAGTTATAAATAATAATAATTTTGTTAATAAAATCACATTCAACCAAGAATAATAACACCTTAAAAACATATGAATAATTTTAAGTTAACATTTATATTAAGTGAAGTATTATATATTTGTCTGCAAATATTTTTAATTTTTATATAAGAAAATTGAAAAGACTGACTTGTTACCAATTTTTTTTCTTTTATTTATATTTTTATCCGTATTTTAACTATAAGTAGAATAATATAATGAATAAGAAAACAATGAAATCACCATGTCTTCCACTAAGTGTTAAGGTTGATACGTATAATTACAATTATAATAATTAGAAATTAAGTCATAATAAGTTTTTATTCGTAGATAACCATTAATTTCAGTCATATTAATATTATCTAATTAAAGTGTTCAATTTAAAGAAAATATAATAATAAATACTGGCCCTATCAACTGGGAGTGACATTTGACAATAAAGAAACGTTAGGTCCACCTGCCAGCATATACAAACTATGTTAGGTACTTTAAATGTATAATTTTATTTCTAATTAAATATACTTTTATTGTTCAGACACATATTTTGTGAACGAACAATAGGGGTTTTATTTTTCATTTGTAACCGTAATTTCATTTTTTTTTCACGGCGATATTTATTATAGATCCTAATTGCATAGATTGCGCATAATCCCATTTTTTATAGCAGATAATAAATACATGTTGTTAATAATATAAGTAATTTCAATAACAGTTTATTCAAATTAAATGACTAATCTTAGAGCTTGATTTTCATTCAAATCAATTAATTTCAACCCAAATTTTATAAATTTAATGTAATATATGATTTATTTATAATACATATAGCGTATTTTACTTTTTTTTACATATACTATATGTAAAACAATAACTATAAAATAACAAACGCGCTGTATCTTAATTAGATCTAAACTACAAAATGTCTATTATAATTTAGTATTACTTCTTCATACATTAAATTTATATAAATACCTGAAAATTATAATCTATCATTTATTGTGTTTATTACTATTGTAAAATATATTAATTAGTAATTACAAATTATAAATTGTAAAAAAATAATATAATTTACCACTAAATTAAAATTGGTTAAATTTGGACAGACATTCTTCTGTAAAAGTACGTGTTATTAAATCATATGTGATTTCAATCGTTAAATTACAATGTTTTAAATAGCAATCAAGCAACTTATATTTATATATTATATACATTTTGTTGTAATTGTGTAAAAAATACATATTTTTAGTTTTTTGTCGATTTTTGTTGTATACATTAACGTTAAAAGTCTAGACTTTAAAATACCTTTTATAAGGTATTTAGTTTATTTTTCATATTACAATGTCATAAAAAATGTAATAATATTGAAAAATATAAAAAATTAAGTATTATAGGCAAACCTTAATATTGTAAAAGTGTTGGATTTTCAGAATAAACAACATGTGTAATGAACATTTTGTTTTAATTCTTAAATATTTTATTTTATTTTTACTCGAACTATTGTTGAAGTTGGATAATTTTTTAATTTTTTAAAATCTTTAAGTTTTAATTATTCTACCCCATAACTATTGTTAGTTAGAGAGAGTAGTAGTTCCTGACACCTTGTCCTCCCATCTCCTTTACCACTCATATACAACTAGTTCGGTTACTTATGTCTTACCTTTACTTTATATTACACTTCTCTTGCGTCTTTGGCCATTTCGGTAAGAAACCGAGAAAGTATTTGTTTTACTACGATGCGATTTTGTTGTGCCCATCGCCTCGTGTGCTCAGCTTTTATTTCACCAATTTTGCTTAATTGTACGTCAATAAAATCTTCTTTAATATATTTTTGAAGACATTACCCCACAAAAATTGAAGAAAACCCATAACTTTTTTATATTTACGAAAATATTCAAGCAAATTATAATATCACTATCGTTGACGTAGTAAATTAATATTTATTTTTCAATTTAAAACTATTATAACCTTCGCAGAAAAACAGTATAGTTTCAAGTCTAGTTTCAATCGACATACTTTTTTTAAAAATCCAATGAATAGTCAAAGTTTAAGAGGACATTTGAATTTTAGAAAAGTATATTAACATTTTCGTTTCATTTCGACTTTTATGGTTAAATTTGCCAATTAATATAAAATATTTACCATTAAATTTTTTGCAGAATCAGTGTTTTTAGTACAAGCACTACAAGTTTTTAGAAAGGCTCAAACTTATAATAACTATTATAATTAATAAAATGTTATTAAACTCATTTCAAATCAGTGTCAGCCTGGATCACCCTACTACCTGGTAATTGCCGGGGGATACCGGATATTTATGTAAAAACTTATATCAGATCCCATACTTAGTTACTTAAAAAAAAAAAATTATTATTTTCGACTAGTATAAAAATAAAATTTATATTATATTTAAAAAAATGACTAGTATTAAATTTTGATTAATTTTTATAATCCTTAAAATTCTAATTTTACTATTTTTTTTTTTAATGTCCTTTCTTAAAAGTTAGCTAGTGTATTAAAAGACAGGTAAAGCTCGATGTGTTCCCGACTGAGCTAAGTAGATCACTTAATCAGTAATGTTACATTAGTTAATAAATATGATAAATTTATTAGCAGGGGTATAATTATTGTTATATTTTTGTTGATATTTGAAATTATTATTTTTTATTTAGGCAGACTAACTGCTTTTTGGCAAAATTTAATATCTTCTTTCAACTATAAAAAGTACTACAAAGGAATTGAAGATGGACCAATATAAAGAGGGTCAATAACTGTCTGAATCTGAGTATCTGAATAATATTAATATTTACTAAAAAATTAAGGATTCAAGAACTATATATAATATTTATTAAATTTTTTGAAAAATCCATTAATTAAAAAAAATGTATCAAGCTAAACGATTTCTGATGGTATAATGCAAATTCTAGTAACATTTTAGCTTCGACGCGAAGCTGAGAAGGTATTAATTTTACTATGATGTGTTTTTTTTTTTTTGTCTGTTACCACTTTTTCTCAGCTCTCACTGAACCAATTTCTTTCAACGATACGTTAAAAGATCACAAATCGTATCTAGTCGAAGACATTACCCTCAAAAATTGAAAAAATTTCCCTCGTTCCCCGTAAAAGGGGGAAACCTCCAAAAAAATTACAAATTTAAAAATCGCTAATTTTCGAAATTTTTTCAATTTTTTTTTCTTAAAACTGCCATAACTTTTTCAAAAATGAATATATCAATATATATATATTTTTTTTATAGATTTATAATGTTTTTACCTATCATTTAATGTATTTTTTATTAATTTGACTCTTTACCTGCCCACAGGGGGGGATTCAAAACGACAACTTTTTCAACTTAATTTTTGAAAGTGTTCCGGTAATATTGACAGTTTTATATATATCTTAAATTAAAGCTATTGTAATATACTTTATTATGAAAAAAAAAATTTTCGGACTTTATTTTGTCTTCACAGTGAAAATGGCTACCGAATGCTATTTTTGTGTGAAAATTCTCGATTTCATATTTGTTATGCTATAACTTATTGAAAAGTGTATGAATCAATGCAATTTTTTTATAAAAAATAATATTTATATCCCTATTTTATTCGACATACTTTTTTTTTAAATCGGACCATTTCCCTTAATACAGGGAGGGTTCAAAACATAAAAATGCATATAGAAAGTAGAACTTTTTTAACTTAATTTTTGAAAATGTTCCGGAAATACTGACACTTTTATATATATCTTAGATTAAAGTTTATGTAATATACTTTAATATATTAAAAAAAAAAATTTTTGACTTTATTTTGTCTTCATGGTAAAAATAGCTACCGTATTCAAAAATATGTTATTTTTGTGTTAAAATTCTTGGTTTTGTATTTTATTTTATTATAAAGGGATTACACTGATTTTCATAAATATTATATCAATCTAATTGACATAGTATAAAAAGTTAAACATATTTAAATTTTTTTGTTTCTTTGAAGTCGAGAAAATTAACTTTAAAATTTAAACTGGCTAAATTTCCATTTTTATTAAGTGACGAATGCGACGTACGGTTTCTGAGACGGTAACACTTGGGTCTTTCACGACTGTGGCACTGAATTTTTTCTTAATTCTTTTTGAGTTAGAAAAAAATGTTTAACTCATTTGATTTTTATCTCATTTAGATTCAATAAATATCAAGGATCCCATTACTGTAGTCTACTCTCGCGAGAAGAAATTCATATTAATATTATTTTACTATGTGGTTTTTTTTTGTAGCTATCATTTATTTTCTCTGCTCTCACTTGACCTACTTTTTTGACAAACTTTTTTTTTAAATTAAACACTATCTTCAGATTTGCATCGAAGCGTTTTTTATAATAGTGATTTTAATCACTGTCAGATATCATCTATACTGGACTCAACTATGCCACGATCCCATTGTGCCGCTACCCCACTGTGCTGGGTTCTTTTATTTATAACATCTAGTGAGACAAATTCGACTTATGTAACAAAATAAATATTCTGAATAAAAACCAAATACTTTTCTTAGGGTAACTATAACTGTACACTTTATTCTACTTATTTATACAAAAAAAAAATAAACCATTTATAAGTACTAATTTGAATAAATAAAATAAACTTCAATTATAATTAAACATTTTCTGTTAACAACAAATTTTCAAGTATCAATTTAATAGTGTGTATTTATTAGAGCCCAAAAATTTTGAACTTCTGGTAGTCGAACCTCAAAAGAATAAACAATTTTTGGGGGGAGTAATATCGGTTTAATATTGGTATTTAGTAAAAGCTGATAATCGATTTTCTGATGTCGGTGATAACGAACATAGTAAAATGAATAAGAAGTATGCTCGATCACAGTCCGCATTTTCGTCATAGTACGCGCAAGTGCATCGCCTTGTGTTTTTGTGCATTCGTATACGATCGGTGAAATACGACCGCTGCCGAATGCACTTTAAAATCGGGCGATTTTTAAATTGATAATTCTGATATAATATATATTCATTTTACTATGATACCGACATGCATTCGATTTTATTACTTCAAAACAGTAAAGTCATTAATAAAAAAATCTATATTTATTTTTGGAAGTAATGATTAATTTCCAGTATTTTATTTTGTCTCCATTTCTATTTTTTATTCAACAGTTTTTTGAGTAGTCTCATTCAAGGAACTACTAACCTCAATTAGCTCACTAATTTATTTCACATGCTACGTTTTCGACGTAAAATTATGTCAATTTATTATAAGCATATGAATTACTTGGTGAGAAAAATATTCATAATCGTATCGAAGCGTTTATCGATGGTGAAATTAATCACTGTCAGATTTTAATTCATACTAGTTTCCACTTTGGTCACTCCTGTAAATTTACAAAAATGAGAATAATTCGTTTTGACTCTTGTCACCCTACATTTATAAAATCCATTTATTTTTGTCGATTGTGAAATATATGTATGTTACAGTGCGCTCTAGATGTTATGAATAAAACTATTCTTTAAGTTACAATTCACTAGATGGTAGGCTTATCACAAAAATATATGAATGACATGCGTAAACTTGAAACAGAAAAATCTATTCATCTAATTTGATAAATATAGATGATTAAAGATGTTTAAGTGTTCACATATTTTTAATGACTTATTGTGGCTCAACGAGAGTAAAAGATAATTCGTTAACCAATGGTTCATAGAAAAAACATTTTTTCATGGAAATTTTGGGGATTATAGTATACAGATATTTAGCCCATTTTCATGTTTTAGATTATTTTGAGTTTTTTCTATAACGTATATCCATTATTTTAAGAATTAAAATTTTATTTTCTGTAAAAAACTTAGTGATCAAAATCATTCAAAACTGTTCTATTACTAGTAAATAGATAGTTTATAGATGAAAGACAATTATCGGTTATCATCTATTTTCTTTTGCTTTGCTTCTCTGTCCAAGAAAACTCGGACAAGTACAGTGGCTGTGCCACTGTAACTCTTTGTGTTATGCTGATAATCGTGATACTTTTTAATGTTAGTTTAGAGTAGATTATCGTTAGCGTAGGTAAAATTTCAACAAAATTTTTGGAATACATTTTTTCTATGTAATCATGTGTGTAATTTTTTCTGAAATTTTGGAGCTGCTAAATCTCTCCGAGGTCCCACAACATGGTCGCTAGTATCCTAAAAAGTATTATGTGGTGTATATAAACAGAATAATTTTCGGTATAATTGGATTCTGAGGGTTTACTACGATATTGAATTTTTACAAATACATAATATACGTATACATCGCACAACGAATACAGGAGAGACAAATTTCGTGATGTATGACATTTTTATATAATTCTCGATAAAGTTCGTTTTTCATAATTTAAATATACAAAAACTTGCATAAAATTTGATTCAAACTTAATAGAAATACTAAAAGCAAAGTACCACGCAATGTATCTCTAATGGAAACTTTGAGCCCGTTTAAGTTGAAACGACTTTTTTCGAGATACGGCCCTCTTTCAGTGCGATATGTACAGCATATTATGTTGTTCATTTCTATGATAAAGTGGTTATTAAATTCCGCTACAAAAGTTATGATATTTCTATAAGGCTGCGCGCAATGAATTTTACTGACTGCCTTACGTACGAAACATACTGCAGTTCAGTAGTAACACGGAGCGTTAACCGACGGACGGGATCGGTGTGGAGGTAAATGTAAAATACTGTAACCGCCATTGAATGAACGGAGGGAGAACAAGCCGTTGTACATTGCCTGTGTTTATGAATCGACGGCATCCGCCGTTCAATCGACGGACTGCGTAGTGCCGCACGCAGCCTATCCCCACTATCAACTGCCTATACGGCATTTACCTCCACTGCGCCACGCATTAGCTACCGGCCTGTGTTCATCAGGCAACAACACGGCAGATCAGTGCGCGTTACCCATCTGGTCGGGACATCACCGCTCTCTGTAGTTTGTTTCCGGCGGTCGTGGTCGTGGTCGTAGTCTGCCAGTGTAGCTATCGTCGGCTGGCACACGCGAGACGTGCTTCAATTGTCATAGTAATGAACGCTCTTAACGTCACAAGACGTTTCCGCTCTACTACGTAGACTGTTAATGTAACTAATTAATCAGATTTATATGTTTTATCAGTATTTATAGCGTTTGTTTACGGAATAATTTGTAAATTAAGAACAATTTTTTTTTTTTAATATTATTATTTTCATCGTCGTCTTCCGGTCATCGTTCGAGGTTGGCTCACTATCAATCTCCTATCAGTAAGCTTATCTCTGTCTCGCTTGCTCTCGAAGGAAGCGCCATTCATTATCACTGGCAGCGGAGAACATTGACGGGCCGACAACACGGCACAGTGGTGAGCAACAACATCAGCATCATCGACCGGAGTTTTCCTATGACCATGTTCGACGTATTCGCGTAGACGGATTTTTTTATTTTTATGTTTAATTATTTGTTTACTCTCGCCGACGTTTGGGAGTGTATTCGTTCGTAAGTAATGCGAATTTCGTAATGTGAAGTCCACGGTAGTGCAAGAGGCTCGGAAAACCTTAGGGCATATCTTAAAACCTAACTGTATAATAGGTTCTATACACATTTAATCAGCCCTAAAGGATATTACGGACAACGATTTTCAGATGGCCGCTTTGCGGCGATGGCATTGTTCTTCCAGACGAAAATGTCAGGGAGACCACGTCGGCACGCCCGAGTATGCTGGACAGGATTTTCTTTACCAGTTGTGAGTACAATTTTTGATAACAAATTTTTAGTGAAATAATGTCTAAAACAATCCAAGGATAAATCATGTGTGGTGTTTAACATAAATCCATACAATTTCATCACCCACCTTAAACAGAATATCTTGTATTGTGTGTCAAACCATTTAGTGTATAATGCTTATGTTTTTTAATTTTGTTCATGAAACTAGTGTAACATTTTATATATTACTATATATATATATATATATATATATTTTACTAAGTCTATGTAGTAGTTTTGCGACTTTTAGAAATTGAAGTATAACACTATTATTTATTTTGCAATGTTTTACCTGTATATACTGTTAGTCAAGTACCTTGAGGAAATTAAACTAAATTTTTGGTCTCTTGAGGTACATGAGTGATGGTTGAGTAATACTTGGTATACCGTAATTATTTTTTATTTGGTAGATAATTGTTAAACTTGTTGATAGTGAATGTATCATCGTATCTTTTTCATTTTCATTTTAACTCTGTAACTAAAAACACATTCACATGGTATTGATTAAGTATTACTATGTTTTTAAGGCGAAACTATTCATTCATACTTTTCTTGTCTTTATTTATTCTAACAATTTGTTCATTACAACATTTTTACTTGTATAAATAAGATACTGAATAATTTTTTAGTTTATTAATGTATGTTACTTGAAATGCTTGTGCTAAAATTAAACAGAATTTACAGTAGTATAACATATTCTAGTAAGTATATATAGTTATTTTTAAGGTAATAAAATAATTAAAAAATATTTATTTTAGAAAAATTGAAATTGAAACCTTATACTTTTATTATAAAACTCATGTTTCATATTCTATTAATTTTTTTTCCAGTAAAGTAGATAAGTACTTTTATGAACTTTCATCATTACATCCTGAGATTATATTATAATATTTCATAAATCCTAAAGTTTATAGTAATAAAAACTTACTAAAACTGTGTTAAATATGCAAATAATGAGGTTTAGTAGACATTCTATCTAGCATCTTTAAAATCTTGTTGATTTATAAAATTTGAATATTTTTAAATAAAATAGTTTCTTATTATTTCATATATGCAGATTCTCTTAAAGTGATAGCTATAATTTTCATGAAAGCTTTAAATCAAAACTAAAAACAAACTTTGGACCCCTTTTTCAGATATTTTTTATTTATAGTTTAAAAGGTACAGTTTATAACAAAAGATTTAAAGTAAAATTTCAAAAAAATGTAAACATTTATTAATATTTAAAAATAAAGAATTCAATTCAACATTATTTTGAAAAATAAAAATTTAGTTAAGGAGAGTTCTAAACTTAGATTCTTATAATATTGTTATTTCTGTATTTCAATTATAGATATTTACTTGTATATTAAATATAAAACTTCTTATTTCGTACTGGCTAAAAAATGGGCTAAAAGTTAATTTTTATGGTACCATATTTTTTCATGGTTATGAGCTCTAATTTGTGTCTATTTGATAGTCATCATTCAACTTTAATTTTAAATTAATGGTTGTCACACAAGTTAATCTAATCTATTAAATTATATTTTCAACATGGATTACTAAAAACAGCAATAAAAATATGATTTTTATTGTTACTTTTCACTTATCAAAACAGTTGTTTCTAATTAACATTTTGTAGCTCTACTTTTTATGCTAACTAGGAATTCATCAGCAAGTAGAACTTATATTTATAAATATTAACCAAAAGTTCCTTTAAATAGACCCTAAGTTTTTTTTTTCTTGATTTGTGTGTTTATTTCTATTTTGTAAATACTTTTAATTTTAAATTATTGCAGAATATCTAAGTTTATATAATTTTGCTTAAAATGAGCAAAATTTAAAACATCTAGTTTCTAAACTTTTTACAAATTCTTCATGGTTTCTAAATGAATATGACTTTTGAAAAGTATATGTAAAATTTGTAGTCTACTTCTTTTGATCTAATTATTTAGTAATGAGATAATATAAAATTATCAATTGTCTTAATAGGGAGATAAAAAAAAATAATAAAGGAAAATTCATAATTTTATTCTATTTATTAACTTTCAAACCAAACATCAATAATGTACTATTGTTATAACTTATCTCCAAAATGACAGATTCTTCTTAATAAATATTAGTTAATATTTTTAATATAGTTATATGTTGTACTGTTATATGAGAAAATGGATAAGTTATCACTATTTTAATTCTAGGAATGACAAATGAAGTAATTTTAATATTTTTTTTAAATTAAATAACGAGTATGTATTGAAAGAAAAAAATTCAATCTCTGTTGTTATTACTTACTACTCTAGTCTTTAATTTCAAAATTACTACTCCAAATATAATAAACATATATCAATATATTTTAATTTGATTGTACTCTTAATAAGTAATAATTATTTAAAGTGAGTTAAAAATGTATTATTTTTCAAACGTAGCATATTATTTTAACTGTCTTGTATTAATATATCTAGCATATATATTATATATGTTTAACAAACGTATATCTAATATTTACTTATGGTAAATATTTGTGTTTCATGAAAAATTAAGTATGTTAATAAATAATTTTATTAGGTATTTATAACTAAAATATTAAAAAATATGATATTTCTTACAATTAAGTGAAATATACAAAATTAAAAAAGTGGCCTAAAATTATGTTAAACTATTATATTGAAATGATCATTTCATTTGATTTTAAATAGATAAATAGTGAGTTTTATCAGGATTTTGAAGTAGAAAAAATTTCTGTATGATATTATTTTGATTAAAAATATTTATAAAAATCTAGTTTTATTTATTTAATTTATTTGATTTTTTAAATTATTCTCATAATTTTTTTCATTTAAACTAACTGTATATATAGATAACTTTTCCGTTGGATATCAATTTAAGTACCAGAAATAAAGTATTTAAATCATGAAGCAAAATTTTAAATCATTATTTTCAAAACAATTTTCATAAAAAAGTTGTATCAATTAAAGAGCTGCGATGACAATATTTATATAACTTTTCAGAAATCTTATTCATAAATTTTTTATTATTTAAACTGTGATTATTGTATTTTAAAAAAATAATTTATCTAACATTTTTAATTTACTTTTTATAATAAAGTGTGTAATTTATTAAAATTGTAAATTATGAGTATTTGTCACTTAATTTCTATGCTATAGCTTTTTTGTTAAAGACCATCCATTAAATAACTTGAAATTTTGTTTTTAGTTTCTTTTGAGTTGTTTATAACATTTTATAATAAACATTAACATTATATATTATATATTAATTATAAGGATAAAAAAAAATTGCCAAAATTAACATTCAACTTAATATTATAAGAATTTTTTTTTTATAAGTACATAGATTTACTAGGGGTAGATCGGAGGTGTTAAAAATAATTTGTTGTAGGGTAGCATTGAATCTTAATGTGACTCTGTATGTAATACATCATAAAACTTATAAAAATATACATAATATGTTTATTATATGTTAAGTACCGTGTAGCCTGATATCTGTCAGATTATTGAAATTTTACTGTATATTTAGAAAAATATATCTTGTTTAAAATTAAGATAAATGGATGATCACTCAATTTTTTATTTTAGAAAAATTAAGTGGCATAAACAGAATTTTTTTGATGGCTGTATACCACATTATATATAAGTTGACTACCATTTATTTTTTGTTGATCACTTAATAAAAAAGTTGATCATAGTGATAGTAATCATATTCTCATAAATAACCACAGATATACTTTTAGCTTCGATGCGAAGCTGAGAAGGTATTGGTTTTACTATGATGTGTTTTTTTTTTTTTTTTTTTTTTTTTTTTTTTTT